CCCCCCCCCCCCCACATCACTTTTCTAATGGTCCGTCCCTTACTTCTTGAACTGAACGCGATATTTCTTCAGTTAATTCATCCGCGTTGATTTGCAGCAGCTAAATAGTTTGATGAAAAGCGCCTCCGTCGTTGTATCTGCGTCTCCAGCACCCAGAATTGGAAGAATTTTGCTTTCTGAATCGTATGCCGAACTTGTCGAAGCCATAACAAGAACAACAATGCCTTATTTTAAAATTTATAAGCACAATATCATATTTCTGTAATACTACGCTATAGTAATTTCTGAATTTGATACACCCGAAATGTCACGTGACGTACCTTTGCAACATCTGAAATTAATTAGCTCGAAAGCCTTTGAAGTCCGCCGGCCTTCCAAACCACGTCCACTACATGGAACAATAGATAGCTTAAGATCTACGACGTCGACACCAGCTAGGACGTCAGGGCTAAGCAGAGGACTGGGACTACATTAGGACGACATCCTAGTCCCAGTCCTCTGCATAGCCCTGACGTCCTAGCTGACGTCGACGTCGATCTTAAGCTATCTAGTGTTGTATGTTGATGAATTTGCATTTAATTGTATTTAAAAAAGAACCTCTGTTAGCTAACGCTAGTTTACACGAGGTCTTAAAAATAGGATTACCCTACAAGATAAAAAGTCTATAAATCTAGTTATTCCTAAAAATTACTAAAATACGTTAAAAGTTCAAATAGTTAATAATAATTATATGAACCAGTCTAGCTGTTTAAGAACAGCAGACTTAAACATGGATTTGGAAGATATGATTTTTATAGTATAGTCTAAATTGTTCCATAGACGGATAGCTCTGGTCCTAAAAGCCCTAGCTAAAAAGGTTTTCTTCTTTAACATAGGTTTCTCTAACAACATATTATCACTTCGACACCTCGACGAAAATCTAGTATTGTGTTCATGAGTAATTTCAAATGGTTTAAAATTCACGTAAATTGCATTTGGTTCACCAGAATAAAGTACATTATGCAATACCATTAAGGTTCTGACATGAATCCTTTGTCTCACTGTTAACCAACCTATTTCATCATGGAGATTTTCCCTAGATATTTCATCAACCTTATATCCTAGGATCAATCTGGCGGCCTTGTTCTGAAGTTTTTGTAAATTATTAATCGACTCTTGATTTTGCGCAGATCCCCAAACCGTACAACAATAGTTCAATTTTGACAGTATGAGTGCCTCAGCGATAATCTTTAAAACTTTTGATGGAATATATCTGCTGAACTTGAACAGTAAGCCAAGAGCTTTGGAACAATCTTTAAGTAGATCTTCACAATGCTGTTTCCAACTTAAGTTCTCGTCAACCTGGACGCCAAGGAGTTTTACACATGGAAGTTGTTCAATGATTTTATCTTTAATGGATAAGTTAAGCGATGGAGCTGATTTAATCTTCTGCCGACTTCCAATAAAGATACTATTTGTTTTATCAGCATTAAGAACCAGACGATTCTCCGAGACCCATAATTCTACTTTAGATAAGTCAAGTTGAAGTTTATCTGATATGAGTCTGGCGTTATGTCCAGATTGGAACGGAGTGCTATCATCGGCGTACAAGGTGATATCAGCTGTAGTTAAGACTGTTGGTAAATCATTAACAAACAAACTGAAGAGCAGTGGGCCAAGACAACTACCCTGTGGCACCCCACAAGTCATCTCGATCGGATTAGAAAAAGCACCATTGATATAATTATACGGTTGAGGTTCTCCCACTTAAATACGACTTGATCCAGTTAATCGCATTATCTGAAAAGTTATAACATTTCAATTTCAGAAGCAGCAAATTATGATCAATCAGGTCGAAAGCAGCTGAAAAGTCCAACAAAGCAGCACCAGTAAGCATACCATTCTCCATGTTGTCAAGGCAACTGTCAGTCAGATGTAAAAGTGCTGATTCAGTGCTATGATTGATTCTATATGCATGTTGATTCTTGAGCATTAAGTTATGTTCGGAGACATAGTGACAGATTTGTTTATGCGCAAATTTTTCGTGCAGTAAGGTAATCAAACCCCACTACAACTTTTTTCTTAGTTTTTAAAGAGATCAATGTAAAAATATCATATTTTGAAAGGGTAAGGGAAAGAGAATTGACCCATGGAAAAAAAATTTGGGAAAAACATTAATTACACTAATTATCCAATATGGCGGCCACTAATTAACGCATAATTGCAAAGCATCGGAAACATCATAACTCAGGAACCAATGAACCAAATTTAATGAACAATATATTTTCAGAAAGCTTGGAGAATGAACTAGTGCCTAAAGCTCTTCAATTTTGTTTAACATCCTTTAAAAAAAAATTGAGCCAAATTTTAAATATTTGAATAATTTTATGAATAAATTAGTGCCTTTGTGGAAGCAATTTGCAAATAATTCATCAATGATAAAAAATATCAATATCTGAAGAGCTTTATTCACTAGATAATGTTATTGAAAGTAACCACACCAAATATCAATCTAATACAGCTAATATTTACAAAATTATAATGTCACAAAGATTGATGATACCTGAGAAATAGCAAAAATAAGAAAATTTAATTGAAAAGTTTGCTTTAATGTCAATGTACCTTAAAAAGTGTTAAAAGCTCCCAGCTTCATAAACCACACGTTCTTTCTCTTCTATCTCATCAACAAAGTTTTTCCTGAGGTGCCTCAATGTTTTTCTTCTACTTTTTACTGTTTCCTTGCTCTTTTTGGCCGACAGCTCAATTCGTGATTGGTCACAATCTTGACAACCTTGTGCAGTAAATGAACCAGGCTTGATATCTAAGTCTTCAAAAATCTTTAAAAAGGAAATGTCCCCATCATTAAATTTCACGACAGCCAAATATGTAGACAGAGCTACAGTTTCATGTTCCACATATGTGGTTTTGGGACAGCGATCCCAAATTAGGCCATTTAGACACTCATTGACATTTTGTGTCATTCCATGAGTGCATTTTTGGAGCAATTGAGGTTGGCTTAATTCATCAAAGATTGGTTTAATTTTCTTGACAATGCACTCAGGTATACCATTCTTGTGTTTGTACGATTCTTCGTCCCTCTTGTATCCGCACCAACTGTCTTCGCCATTCGGACAAAGATGATGTTGAGGGTTTAAATCTGTCGAAGCAACATGGTATAAACTTGCTTTAATCGATTTGGCCATTTGGTCTACATCATCCAAATTCTCCCTCACAGCAAGTCCATAATAGTTTTGCAAAACATCAATCTTTCCATCAGTCAATCTTCCTTTGCCTCCTAGTCCTTTCCCATCAGCCAATTTCAAACCTTTATTTGCACTTTTTAACTTGCGCAACCTGCTGCCAACCCGTTTTTGGACATGACCAATGCACTCCAATTTCTTGGGTATACATTCATCTTTAAGGCTTCCTCTGAACAATTTTATTATATGTTGTTGAGTCCCCATCACCAAGCATGTCCTTATATTGTAGACCCCGTGATATGTATGACCTTTCAAAAATCCGCAAAGCACCAACTGTTTCCATGGAGTTAGCACTCCCAGTGTGGTTGATTTTACACTGGTGGTTTGCCTTCCATTCTTGGTATTTTGGATCATTTTGTTTCTTTTGCCATTTCTGGCATGCTTGACACTTGTCGGAGAGTACTTCGACATCCAGAACTTTCTTGGTATCCAGGCTTATTGCGGTAACAACACCATTGTGTGACACATGGCCCCGTCTTTGCCAAGTACCATCAAGGGAAATCCCACATTCACCTTTGTCATTTCCACAGGAATCCTTGACATTCATGGCATTGTTCATCATACTGTCATTGGCTACCTGTTTAACAACAGGCAATAACTTTTTGTTCTGTATTTTGGTAAAGTTACGACGGGTTGGTGGTGATTGCATGTTCATAAGTTTGGTGAAAGTCACCATAGCATTATGGCCTCTGCCAATCTCTCTAAATGCAAGGACAGCTCTCACATTTACTTCAAATGATGGCCCTTGTTTTTTCGAAGTATGGAAGCAGTATTTCCAGTCACATTCAGTATGTTCACATTCCAGTGCTTCTTTTTCATGTCAATATGAGAAGTCATTTTATGTCCACATTCTGGGCATTCTAAGACTTGATCAAACACGCCAAATAAAACTGACATGTCCATAAATAAGGTGCCTTCTTTGCCAGAATCCATTGAACCAGAATTCTCGCCAAACTTTCCCTCCACATCGCCAATCTTCATCTTAGAAGGCCCAGCGTTTTGATCACATGGTTCGCCATCTTTGAATTTTTTAGCACTCTTCTGCCAAGCAACTCTTGCTCGTTTTCTCTTCCTATTGCGAGTATTTCCCATATTTTTATAGGAAACCACAAACAATAACTAAATCAAACCAATATTTAACAAACAGAAGTAATTTTCGACGAAAATATACAGGAAAAACGAACAATTTCGAGCAGATGTTTACAGCCAGTGGGTCAAAGACGATCGCGAATTTGCTATGCAAAATGTGATCGCGCATGCTTGTAAAATGGTCGTTAAATACCATACACGAAAAGTAGAAACCAGAAAAAGTCTTTAAATACCATACACGAAAAGTAGAAACCATAAAAGATAGTTCATAGCTGAACAATTCGAAGATATATGGGTGAAAAGTCGTTGCTAAGGCGTTGCTAAGAAGGAAAATTTGTATAACCACAACTTCAGAAGCATTTTTCGCATTTAAAAATTAAAAATTTCGTGAAAGTAATTTGAAATTCTAAAACTACACTATTTAAAATACCTAAAACACACAAAATCAAAATTTTGAAAAAATATTGATAAATGCCTAACAAAAGGGATATGACTACCTTAATGATTGAAATGTATACATTATATGCGCTGATACAGATTAGTGATTGCATGTCAATGATTAAGTGAGGTTACATAGTAATCAAGGCTTTAATATCATAGAAACCGCGCGCAGTCTGGGTACGACTTATGTGTCCAGGAAGGCAATCACAGATCACGATCATTTTAGGTTAAGCAGAAAAGACGTTTTCAGAGGAGTGTCGCCCCCAAAAGCTACGGCCTTGAATATATGCCAGAATTCCTGGCTTGGCAAGATGGAAGTGGAATGATCAGATGAAACACTCAATATAGTTTATATTATGAGCAAGATTTTGGCAACTGTCCCGTCTGCACCTAGCCGGGTCATATAAACGCACCCTAGAAAATGTATAAAATTTTCACTCAAAATTTCCTTCAATGTAATGAGACTATATTTTGTGACTAACAATAAGATGTGCATATATAAAAAATAGAATGTTTAAAACCTCAATTAGTCCTCATCACTAGAACTTTCACTATTTTCAGAGTTGCTTGGTTCCTCTATCTTAACTTTTTTTTCAGGTGATTTAGCAGCCTGACCTGAGCTGTTTAGCTTCCGCTTTAACCCAGAGTTCTTGGGCGATGATGAACTTTGTTGGTGTTCATCCGAGGCAGATTCTACCTTTATTTGAGTTTCAGCAACTGCTTTTTTATCTTTAGCTTTTTTATCTTTTGCTATTTTCGCAGCTTGACCACTAGTACCCGTTATGTTTACCACTTCTAAATCATATTTCTCTTTCTCGCTAGCTGCGGCCTGAAGCCAGCCTTTTTTGGTCGACTTGGGCAAATTTTCCCATTCTACCACAAAGTCATTCTCCGTCTCGTCCCCATCTATGTCCTCGTCTTCTAATCTCTCAGACTTCCACAAGGTATAGGCAGACATAGGCTTCTTAATCATTGATATCTGCTGGTCATGAAATTTCTTCATCTCTTCATAGTATTCTAGCTTTGCCTTTTCTGCTTTGCTCACATACTTTTCCCGTTTGTCTTCAGCCAGTTCCTTCCATCTTTCGCAAAGTTTTTTATGAATTGCACTAAACTTCAACTCGGGGTGTTTTTCCACGAGGCTAGCTCGCTTGGCTTTGCAGAAGATTGAGAAAGCGTTCGGCGGTTGTTTGCTAAATTTCCTGTTCTTTGATAGTAACCGCATTCCCTCCTTTTGCCGATTTTCCTTGTGCAAGGTAACAGCATCCCCAACAATTTCCAGAACGCTTCTGCTTTTTCGTACTTTCTTGATCAGCATCTTGTATTGTTCTTGCATCTCAAACTAAAAAATAATAACCATTTAAAACACAGTTAATGTTATGTATGTCACAAGCAGAATATGGCAGTTTATTTTGTGCAACAGCAGGCGGCTCCTAAAGCCTAGTTTCCATTTGGTCGTTAGTTGTCGCTGGTACAACAAGTGGCTGATGTAATAGAGTGTCAACAAAACTTTACAAAACTATGCAATCATTAAGACTGATTTGCATATAACACACACAAAGATTATTATTATATTAGACTATTTCACATCTACAGCTTGTCGTGACAGCGACAACTAACGGCCAAATGGAAACTAGACTTAAAGTAGATATTTTGGTTAGAAATATCCTTAACCTAGCCCTCAACATATTTTCATTCACATTTAACTAGGAGTGCACTGGAACCAATTTTTAAAGTCCCGGCCGGAACTGGAAAAAAGTTCCGACCAGAACCGATTTATTAAGCCACATACAGTCATATGTTACTTTGTCTGCTGCCAGACAGGTAGACACTTCAATTGATCAAGAACAGAGATCGCAAATGTTACAATTAAAAGATTGACAAACGTTAGACGTCATAAATCATAATGAAGTGTTAATTGTGGGTTCCTTGTGTAGTCCAAATTTCTTCCTACTGTGAACTTTTGTTAGACACAAAGTTTAATATTCTATCTCTCTGAAAACAACAGAGTACCGGTTCCGGCCATGCTTCTTTTATTAGTTCCGTCCTTTCAAAAATTGGGGTTAGTTCCGGCCGGAACCGAACATTCTGGTGCACATATTGAAAAATGTGCCCGGCCACGGTGGGATTCGAACCTACGACCTTTGGAGTACTAGCCCAATGCTCTTCCAACTGAGCTACGCGGTCAGGACAGTTCGAGTAAGTGATATTTCGGAACAGAATCTAGTTCCTTCGATACCAGTGTAATCTAGTAATATGATTTTTTTCTGTGTTGGTGTTGTGTACTCAGGTGAATATGATATTTGTGATGTTACTCTGATTGTATATCCGCACCGGGCGAGCTTGAAAAATGTGTCCGGCCACGGTGGGATTCGAACCTACGACCTTTGGAGTACTAGCCCAACGATCTAGTCTGATCGGGTTGAAACCAATCAAATCGTTAATTCTGTTGACAACAGCATTTTCATCTGGATTCAATTTACTGGTATGTTCTGTGAAGGGGTACAGCTAAGAATCTTCAGGGGTGGATCCAGCAAGGTTTTTCTAGGGGGGTGCTGGATGAGCAGCCGAGTGTTTTGTTACAATTATTTAGGGGGTGGTTGGAGAGCATTCAAATAAATTGGCTTCCTCACAACTTGAGCACCAAAGGTGCAAGCTCCCTAGGGGGTTCAGCCTTCAGGCAGATATGCCCCCCCGGAACATTTTGAAAATTAGAACCCTAGAATTGCCATTTCCTGTGATATGGGCATTGAATTATGAGCTTCAGTTGGACTTCAAAAAAGGAAAAACCTTGGAAATCATGCCATATTTCAGAATTTGATTTTGCACCCCTGTTGACCTAGGCCAAAAGTGGTGCACACCCTTGTGTACTCCCCTATAAATCCACTCCTGAGAATCTTTAATTATAAAATAAATGGGATGAAAATGGGCAAGCTAGACAAGGAGCTGTTCACTGGGCCAGTCTGGAAAGCCAGGATAAATTGTGTCACAAAAATGTTTTTGCTGACCATAAAAGAATGTTCGAATCAACTTTAGAATCTAAGCTAAATATTCAACTTTGAATGCCATTGGGCTATTCCATTTAATATGTGCACCTAGTAAGTAGTAATTGACCGATTGTGCAACAATCTGAAATTACTGTGCACATTTTCTCAACAATCTTTTTTAGACAATCGGAATAGAGATAATTCTACCGAATCCGATTGTCCACCGATAAGGCAAAAATCAGCCCGATTATCAGTGAATTTGTCGGCATATCTGTGTGAGATTAATTTACAGTCTTAAAAGCACACAGGATTGTCTACTTTGACATGGGTTTTAGTCCCGGAGTCCCCAAAAGTAAAATCTTTGGAAACGTTGGTGTGATCAAGGGCAAATGCTGGCATATCTCCGGCATAGAGTTTACATGGAATGCACCCATGGTATTGAGGGGTCTGTATCTACATCTTAAATTTTCCTGCAGGGTAGCTCAAAAGACGTTTTTAAAAAAATGGGGAAAATTAGGTGTTTTATTGATACCCAAGACTGCAAGAGGGAAGAAGCAACATCCTAAAGGGGTTAGTAAGATATACTATGGCATAACTTCCACAAATTGCATTCAAGGGGGTTCCAAAATTTGTATGTCCTATGGGGATTTGGCCATTCCATTTAATATAGGCACCTCTCCTCCTATTGAGGGGTCCCTTCATAATCCTCTTAGGATGTAAAAAAATTTGGAACCTCCTTGGAGGAATTTTGTGGAAGTTATTAGCCAGAGGACCAGACTGGAAAGTTTGGAAATTGCTTGCTGGAGATATCAAAAATTTAATAGTAAATATATAGAAAGCATCAAAATTGCGCGCCGGAGATATCCGCTTTCCACACTTGCCAGAGGATATCTTACTAACGCCTTTAGGATATCGCTTTTTGAGCCTTTTTCCCTCTTAGACATCACTAAAACACCTATTCTTAAAAAAAATCTCTCAAGCTACCCTCTAAAAAATTTAATATGAAGACCCCCTCCACCCACATTGGATATACAGACCCTTCGAATTGTAGGGGGAGGGTGCACATATTAAATGAAAAGGCCCATTATGAAGGAGTGCCTATGTTAAATGAATGGCCCATTGCATGTCGTTTAAACTCTTAACTCTGATATAAAAACAACCACGTCAATTTCAATCAATGACATCAAGGCGATTGCGACTAAACCGTGTGTAAACATTCTATAATCAACATATTTCCATTATATTTTTACCTGTGTGAAATCATCCATTTGTTGTACTTTAGACCAGTCAACACGTTGTGAATACTGCTGTTTTCCACTCAATTTCAACGTGTATTTCTTTACATTTTTCAGCAGCGTCTCCTCCTGATCGTGGGACCATTGTCGATTTGAACTTTGCGGTTTTGGCGCCATTTTTTCCGGGCTAACTTTGGACTCCTTCGGCGCAACGGGACTTTGCTCTGGTGTGGCTGTCTTTTCGTTTTGGGATGCATTTGTATCAGCACTTTCGAAGGCTGCGGATTCCTGCTCCTCGGTTGAAGATTTTGTAGCTTTCTTATGTTTTTTCTTGTGTTTCTTGCGCTTCTCAGAGTCATCTTTGTCTGCCATATTGAAAAACGTGTTGTAGAAAACCGCAAAGCACATTGGGGCTTCGATCATTTGGTGTTTCCACTATATGATAAAATTTCGTTTTCGTCACAAAAATAATATTGAGTACAAAATCTCAAAACAAAATTTTAATGGTGAAATTTGTAATAAATTGCATGCTAAACATTCAAACACAACATTATAATCACCAACAAGTCAGTTTCTTCAGTGGTGGGGCAGAGGAAGGGGCACAATGGGGAAAATGCCCCACCAGTCCATGGTATTATAAAATGCCTGGGGACGAGGTTGGGCCACGGTGGGAATCGAACCTACGACCTTTGGAATACCAGCCCAATGCTCTGCCAACTGAGCTACGCGGTCAGGTCGGTTCGAGTATGTGATATTTCGGAACTGAGTATAATATGATAATGGTGGTAATTTATCGTAAAAATATTGTATTTTTACACCAGCCATTTTGTTTCCCACGAGCTATGTATTTGAATTTATTAAAATTATGTATTAATTGATTACCTCAGTATTAAAATTATGGTTAAATAAATTACGATACGAATTTAAACTATTGAATTTAATTAAACCCTTCCGTTGAATAGTACAAGACTACAAGTACTATCGTGCAATAAGTTTTGTACTATTGCACGGTAGCACAATTTTAATTCCATACCACGTGATCATAATCAGCCAATTAAATTACTAAAATTTAATGAGTTGTTTAATGAGATGTTGTTATATTATCAATAATACTAGAAGTTACTATCGCAAGGAAAGTGCTGCCATCATGCTAAAAACTTTTGCAAATTCTCGACCTTAATTTTAAAACTCTCGAAAGTAAAATTTTATCTTCATGACATGTTTGATTAATTAATTAAACCTTCCCTACGAAATCCCAAAACCCTTCCGGAATTGGAAAGTACGTCCTTCCGGTATCTTTTTATATTGTGCGCATTTAATTGCCGATTATTAGTTAACTATATTATTTAACTACTAAATTATCATTTAGAATTCAGATATATTTACTGATAGCAAAATGTTCCATGACTATGCATCCAGCCTGGCCAACTCTGCGGTGTAAATTCCAATACTTTCGTTATCATAAAGCACGAAATAAACAGCTTTCAACGAGGTAGCCATGATGGAAACGAAATAATCCGAGATAGCTCGCAGGATTATCTCTGCAGTGGCTTGCTTCGGAAGTTTATTTCTGAAAGAAAATGTTGATAAAACTATCAACTTTGCTTTGCAACAAAACCGATTTACACTACACAACTTTTGCCTAAAACTGTCGCGTGCAACCTGCTTACAACACTTCAATTTAAGTAATCCCCTTAGGCCAGGGTTAAACGTTTCATGTGCCGAACCTAATGTTAATGAGCTAAGTTCTTTGTTTCACTTCATTTGCATTAGGTTCGGCACATGAAAAGTCGAGGTTCGACCCTGGCCTAAGAAGGGTGGTATGCCGCACTGGGGGTGGGAGTTTCCGACCCCCCCCCCCCCGCCCTCAAGGCAGATGCCTCCCGTTATGAGGGATTACTGGATTAGAGTGGGGTGAGTGAGGACTCTGTGGCCGGGTTATCAACGTGTCTGTTGTGTAATTTACTGTGGTCTGTAGGATATACATGCTGTTTTTAATGTGCTGGACCCGTTGCAATTGGCTAAAGGCTGTTGCGGTGTTTCTGCCAGTCTGCCACATTTTCTCTATCTATATTTGTTATCCATGTGATTTGTCATTTTTTTTCAATGTATGTATAAGTGCACTTGTATGGTATGCATCACACAAACGAAAGGGATGTATTGATATACCACAGTTAATACGGATATAGCTAATTCAAAAAAGGTTGTCCTAAGGCTAAGCAAACCTTAAACTCTAAGCGTGCAAAGCATATTTAATCAGTTTAGAAATCATATTATATGGGGCCCATTTCTTAGAGGCATGGTAATATCTCCTTGCAAGAATTCGTTCACAAATAGCTGCAATATTCAACTTGAAACTTATGCTCCCATTACGATTTGCGCGCTTAAGCCTGGTTCACACGATGAAATAAGCATAAGCACAAGCACCGGAACCTTTGATGTGCATAAACGTAAGCATAAGAAGAACAAATGTTGCGTTCTTCTTATGCTTACGTTTATGTACATCAAAGGTTCCGCTGCTTGTGCTTATTTCATCGTGTGAACCAGGCTTAAGAGTTGAAGGTTTGCAAAAAATACTTTGCCTATTGTAACTTGTAAGTTACACGGATAAAAACAATCAGGTTGTTGCAATATTGATGAAAACAGGATTGAACAATGTTTTGCTGCCCAAATTATGCAGTTGTCCACAATATTGTCACACCCGATTCCATCTCAACAATATTGTAGCGTTTTTAAGCATGTATAACGCGAGTGTCAGGCTCTACTCGAATTTGAGGAAAGGAAAATGGCATCTAGTAAGTCATCCAATTTTCAAGCCTGAATATTGATAAGACATTCACCTGAAGAATTGTTGGGTGTTTATGAAATTAGCACGACTATCAAGCAACTGTCTTTGCCTGTGTGGCTTGCGAGATATAGCTTCCCGCACCTTTTCAGCTTTTGTAACGAGTTTTAGAACGTTCTATGGGCTAGATTATAGCGAACTTAAAAAGGGGTAAAAAAAAGACAGTTACTTATATCAGGGTTCGTAGTCTCCAAAATCAAAAAAATTCAAAGACTTTCAGAGATTAGTATTGTCAAAGACTTTTCAAAGACTTTAAAGCAATCACCATTTTAGCTGGTAATTGGTCCAGTCAAATCACATCCTAAAATGCACTTTTTCGTCGATATTTGTGAAAATCTTGCTTCAATCAATCTATTTTATTAGCTAGGAAATGGTATAATCAAAGACTTTCTTCGCTTTTTCACACAATTCAAAGACATTTCAAAAGACCTGCATTCAAATTTAAAGACTTTCAAGGATTTCAAAGACCGCTACGAACCCTGTATATGCTTTTCTTTTGGATTTGATACAAATTCATATTTTTTTTATCCGCGTTGCCGACACTGCGAACTTAGGGTGTTTTTTTTGTCACGTCCGCGATTTACCACATGTTAAGCTATCTAGGGAGACTTGCAGATAGCCCCCCCACTTGAATTTCCGGAACCCCCAGAGCAAAATCTGAAAATCCGCCAAGAATACTGCTGCCAAGTAGCTCTCTCGGGTGATTACAGTTGGGGATTAGTTGTTGAACGGATGCAACCCGGCAAAGATGATGCACACCCTCCCTACCAGATCAGGCTACTAGACAGCGTGCCTGGGGGGATTCGGGTAATATTTGAGCCGGACTAGTGCACGAATTAATATTAGACTATGGTCAATAGACCGACCCTACGTACAAACACAAAGCAAAAACTTTGCATTACAACTTTTCCTTTGGTTTAAGTATAATAAAAATTACCATAATCATACAGTTTTGCCATTTCCTTCAAACTAATATTAACAATAAAATGTTTGCTACAATGTCCCGTAGGAACAAGTACGATGTGATAAACAAGACAAAGGTAGTCATTTCTAAAATTACAGTGTGATTAAGTATAAGTTAAAAATGTTTTCTAGAAAACGATGTAGTATATCGGCTGTACTGTACATAGGCTTGAGAATTCAAGCGTCAAGTTTGGCCATTTCCATTGTGTAGGCACCAATGTCTTCCATTTTGGTCATGACAAACTTGATCTGTCTCAGAGAGGAGGCCATTACGGTGACGAAGTAGTCGGATATGGTCTTCAAAGTTGTTTGGACAATTTGTGCTCTCAGCTCATCTTTTCTGCAAGGGAAAGGGTAGCAAGGTCAGCGTGATGTGGGTCACAAATGGTTAAACAACATAAGGTTGAAAAACTCTTGTAATCTTCTTCGTCCAAGAGGAAAGAAGTACCCATAATCAGATCCATATTCAACGACCAAGGTTTTGGAGTGCATCGTCGTATAACAGGCGCAAGCGATGGATAGCATGCCTGTAGATTTTATTATTGTGGAGGCAGGATAGCAATCATGTAAATTTTATTTTTGTGGAAGCAAAATAACATATGCTTGTGGAGGACTTTTTTTGTGTGGAGGCAGCCAATTTTCAAAAGGCTTAGATAATTGGCTTCATGATTTGCGAAGTTGTTATCCAGTAACTCCCAGTTTTTTGTGTTTAGCTGTACTGCCTTCTACATGATTTTTGGAGTTAGCCTGTAACTCTCCAGAATTCTTAATTTAAACAGTGCGCGTTTTCCATATGGCTCTGTAACTTCTGCAGCCACGAGCGGCAGCCGCGCTGCTTTTTACACAGTCTACGATTTGCATTGTTAGAATGACTAGTTGTAACACTGTTTCAAATATCACATGTACATAGATACTATGGTACCAATGGTAGTAAAACAGGACGTGTTACATACTGTTGTCTATTGATACAAACTATAATACCTGTATGCCATAACCCGAACCATTTGTTTATGGCTGTTTTTTATTACGAAACAAACTAGTTCCCGAGTTCTTAATGTTAAACATTGTGTAGCACTTGCGAATATAGTGAAAAATGAATGAATATAATCGTGCACGATATACTGTTTTTAACATGGTTCGTATAGGCAAGGAAGAGCAAAATTCAAGGACTTTTAAGGGCATGCATCAAGAAACTCAAGGGCTGAAGAGAAGGCGTTAGAAAATGACATTTAATTCTTCAAATTGCAAGTTTAATGAATTTCAACTTTGTAAGCCATGACCAAAATCAGTTCAACAAAATACCCTTTTTGAAGGTCAAACAAATTTCAGACAATACCCGAAAACTAAAGCAAGAAGAATTCAAAGACTTTCAAGCACTTTTTTTTACAATTTCAAGGATTTTCAGGCCTTAATTTTCTTTTCAAATTCAAGGACTTTCAAGTTTTCTACGAATTCGGTTTAACTGTTTATCCTCTTAGATTATACCGTATATACTATTTGGCTTGACGTATTCCAGTAACCCATCATTGTAATTGTTAAAGACAGGTTTCAAAATATAACGTAATGCTTTCAAACGTACGAAAACTGCGTCTATAGGCTATTTTCACAGGTCAAAAAGTGGCCGAGTGTATTTAAATGACCTACGGGATTCTTCTAAGTCATATTAGCATGAGATGTGAAAACTGCAGTTTATAATTGGGAGGCAACTGCTGACTTTTGCAAGGGAACATTTTTCGTTCATTTACTGTCTACTCACAGACCTATAAGATATGGAGATCTGCAAGCAGGCTGCATATATCACCATTGGATGTAAGGTTGTCTACCAACACAACAAGCGTCAGACATTTTTACTTACGCTCCACTTCCAATCGAAGGCAAGGCAATACTCTTCAAATTTTTCTCATCAGCCAGTGCGAGAATGTTCTTGACTGCAGCTTCAACCTTCTCGAGTGCATCCTTCTGAGAGGCTGTTGGACTGTTTACATGAATGACAAACTTAGCTGGGAAACCATGTCCTTGGCAAATGGCAGCTAGATAAATACACAAGCAAAGAGCATAACTAATTGATTTATGGTCACAACTCACAAGTGAAATGTTTTCCAATGTTTAAACCAATTGGAAGTGCACAGTGAATAATTTTCAAGTTGAATAAACTCTTAAACTCTAATGAATTTTGGGACAATTTGGAACATAATCACACCAAACAAATCTTCTGGCCACTAGTATATATAAATACCAATAGCTATGTTTTAGATAAAACAGTGAATAGGCTAATGAGATTCTTTATACAAATTTCTAGCTCTGATAAAACTGTATGAACTAACCATCAGCAACATCCAAAGGACTCTTGTCTTTGGCCAAGTTTTTGACTTCTTCTTCGAAAGCTTCACCACCAGCCTTTTTCAAGGCATTTCCTAAACAAAACAAACTATGTCAGCAACATCATCGAATGATTGGCCAAGCCACACACATTTATTTAGCAGGCTGCACCAGGGATGGATTTACTTGGGGTGCACTACCCCCTTGGCCAGAGGGGGTGCAGGGGTGCTATTTTTCATGATAAAGCAAAGACAAAATGAGATACAGTAATTTGAGTAATAACATGATAATAAGTGAACTGTGAACAACAATTACAATTCAAATACAGTAGTTGATGGGCGGGCGGCACACATGACCGACACAACTCGGTAGTCGGCACCAGAGCACCCCCCTACCAGATTATGCTGGATCCATCCCTGGGCTGCACTGACATGGCTGTTAACTAAACAATTTGTTTGTTTCAATACCAGAATACCACTGTATTTCTACACACAGTAAACATACTATTTAAAATTGAACACATGAATAATGGCTCAGTTGCATTGTTACTAGCCCCTTTCTAAGCACAAGGCCATGGCGTGCAATTCCATACACAATAGTGCCGCATCAGTTTATCAAAAACTGCAATTTATTGCATGTCTCAATTAAGCTGCAAGCCTGCAATGGGTCGTTCCAGAAAAGTCCACACTCCCCCCAAGGAGGGGATTTCTGCCATTCTAGAAGGAGGGGAGAAAATTTTGTTTCTGATAATAGTGTATTCAAAGGACATCCGAAGGGGGTAAGGAGTCAACTTCAAATTTCCTCTGTGAGGGAGGTATGGATGTTTTCTGGAATGGCCCAATGCAAAATATATATTTATAAAAAAATCCACACTATATATTGTATATCTAATGACTAATATTGCATGGTAAACATAGCACAAGCCTCCCTCGCAAAGGTCCAATCTGCATTTACAAACAAGCATGAAAAATCTTGAAAATACAGCCAGGCTTTCTAGGATAATTTCAAGTACCACATACTAACACCCCTACTTTTTTAACCCAAAAAGAAGACCAAAACCACATATATATATATTTATAATATAGTCATCCACCGTATATGAGCTGTTCTGCAATCTGATTGGTTGAATTACTCGCCGTATATCAGCTCATATACAGCGAGTAGCGAAAAACAAGATGGCGGTCCAAAAACTACATGAGTTTTGCGAAGCAGAAAAAGGAAAATATTCGCTTTGAGAATAATATCACAAGGAAAAACTCTCAAAAAAAATTTGACAGGTTAGCAAAATACATTTATTACGTAGAAATTAGTTTAAATACAAGTTTTTTAAAGAATTAATACCGAAACAACAGCGAAAAAACATGTTCATTGAGAATATAAATTGTTCAGAAAAGTTTGCAATGAACGACAAATGAATTTGCAGTCAACAAGCACTTCCTATAGTACCAAACATCTGTATAATATATCTGAGCTTTCCTGTGAGATATAGAGGTTCTAAAACCATTTCTTTCACTTCGTCTTCGAGTTGTAAGACAAGCTGTTTTTCAAGCTGTTTTTGGCCGAAAAAATTGTCAACACATTGTAACAGTGAATAATTAATTACTGCTTCAGTTAATGGCTATATTAGACTATATTATAAAACAATTATACCATTCGCTCTCGTCGTATATGGCTGATAGCCAACTCGGTGCTACGCACCTCGTCGGCTATCAACTCATATACGACTCGAGCTCATGGTATAATTGTTAAATATATATATGATATCCAGTATCCGGCCAGATACCAGTAGGGTCTTAGCTAGCATTTTAGATCTTGGACGTGTTTCTAAATTACCAGGGTGTGCACATGTCAATTACCTTGGCCAAATTCACGGTTCTATACAACGGACAATGCTGCCTATGATTGTTCTATGCTTTGCAACTAAATACAAGGCAAGCATATACTCATATTGCGCACTGACATTAAAATATTAAGTTATTTCAGCAACTCTTGGGGTATTTAAAACCTGATTTTTAACACCATATAGTTCCCATTATCCATCAAAACATTAAAACATCACGGATCACGTTTGCCAATTTCAACAACAACAGATTTTACAAACTTTCTTATGACGTAAATAGAAAGAAATTCTGTCTGTTGTAAGTAGCACCATCTTATTTTATGAACATACACGGCCTTATATAAATAATGATCGCAGCCGCGTTCATTTTATCTAGCCGTGTTTTTCCATTTTTGGCCGTGATAACACGGCCCTCTAGCTAAGACCCTGGATACCAGATGAGATTGTCTCACAATCAGGCTGGATATATCCCCAAAAATTCAGACCCAGTAAGAAATCTATGCATTTTTCTTACCCACTTCGCCAGCAAGGTTTAATTTTGCATTAGTAGGGTTGACAACAGCATCAACATCAATCTCAGCGATATTTCCCTGCACAACACACATCGACTGCCCAAGGAATAGAGTCTTTTCTGACAACAGTGTAAATCCTGGTCCTAGATCTTTGTTGACGGCATCTTTCTTTCCAGCTTTGCCTTTGCCACCTTTCTTTGGTGTTGGGGCATCCTTTTCTGCTTTCTTTGGCGTTCCCTTTTCACTTTTCTTGGGTGTTGCCGGTTTCTTTTGTTTCTTGGATTTTAATTCTTCAGGCGTATACAATTTGCCACCCTTTCTCTTTTTCAAAAGTTCCGGGTGAATTTTTGGTAACACACCTCCTGATGCAATAGTCACTCCTTTCAGAAGCTGTAAGAATTAAACAATTATGGTGCCAGGGCTTCAAATTTGCAGTATCCCGATATCCCGGCGATACCAGATTTTAAATTTGGATACTGAAAATCACAAGCTCAGTATCCCGAGGGATACTGAAAATAATTCTGTCCATGGCGGATATTTCTCGACAAAATACCGTCCAAAATAATACAAGAAGACAAACAAAGTCCAAGCAAACAAATTTGACTGATTTTTTGTTTGTAGAAACACCACGTAAATTTATTACTGCAAAGCTTTCGATCCGTAAGCCCGGATCTTCATCAGTGCTAATAATATGAAGAGCACTTCATATTATTCTGCTAATAATATGAAGAGAACTTTCCACCAAGTCTACTTTTTCACCAAGTCTACTGCATTTTCATGTAATACGTCATATGCATTGCGGGAGACAATGAGTACTGGACCAGGTCGTGGTAGAAATTTACTTTCCAAGGCTGCAAATTACTGCCCGACTAAATTTGGCAAATAAATGTCAAAGCAAAAGTAATTTTGATCGGACATTGGTCCGATCACAAAAAAATTTGTCACATACATTTTTTTGCTGTGACAAACTCCGATTGCAAATTCACTCAATTTGCATTTTGCAATAAAATTTACTAGGCGTCCTAGCATTTAATTTTACTTAACGCAGGGCCCGCGGAGCGTATTAGAGAGTGGGGGGGCTAAATCATCAATAAAACCCCCAATTAATTAATTTAGAAAGTTTCATTTAGATTTCTATTTTAATAATTTTGGCTGTCAAAAAAAGTGGGGGGCTAAAGCCCCCCCACAGCCCCCGTCTCCGCGGTCCCTGTAACGTTGCACCGAAATGGCGTACATACTTGTCTCGTGACTTATATATATCTTGTGACGTATATATGTCCAACCAAATTTAGTGATGTTGGCTTTTGTCCAACCAAATTCAAGATATGTCCGACCAAAATTAAAAGTGATTGGACAAATGTCCTGTCAAGTCAAATATTTATTTGCAGCCCTGCTTTCAGTATTTTCTTCTGCATTTAGATATTTCAATATTTAATATGGTCACACATAAATTGCAAAAAAATTTATGGTAAAGTAATCACATCTACACAACGAAACTGGCATTGAATAATTGTTTAAATATTTCTAAAGACTACTAATAAAAAACTGGCTTCATTGCCACATTTAGGCCTAAAAATTCCTGTGGTTCCGGTTTCCTGACCAGGGTTCAAATTAATTCTGAAAAAATGGTGCGTTTATTTTAAGGAAATTTTAAGGAATTTTCGCTAATTGGAAGTTAAAAAGTGGAAGCACTGCAATTTTCAAATATATAATATACATCGCAAACTCGCAAAAAAATAGAATTTTGGGTGGAATTATAATCGTTTTTAAGTACAATCTAACAACAATATCTTCAGAATATATGATCCTTCATCACATTTACAAAGAACTGAATTTATTATTGTATATTTTTATCAATTTGAGAGACTTTTGATTCATGATTTTGATCAATTTCTATGAAATTGTATGAAATTGGGTTCGTGAAAAATGAAAATTGATTCGTGATTCACGAACCGTTATTTCGAACCCTGCTGACCGACCCTATTATTTTCTGCCGACCCTATTATTTTTTTCAACACGATTGACTGTGCGACCCTAATTTCTCTGGGTGGTTGCGGGCTGCTCATACAGCGTGCCAAAATGGTATCTGTTGTCACAATAATTGTTGAACCAAACCGCCTAAATTTGTCCATAGAAACAACGCATCTCTAGTTAATTTTGAGACTCTACTGAAAATCGCCCAGCAAAAAACCACCAAAAGCATGACAAAATATTCAAAAAAAAATTCCGATGTACCTTCCCCAATTTTTTCGCGATATGAAACCGGAACCACACTGCAGGTATTTTTTAGGCCTTATTACAAACGTTTGCGAATTTGCGATGTTTGGTACAAGGTTTGGACATTTTAGTCAAAAATAATTTAGTTGAAATCAACTGTAAAATCCCAAAGGAAAGTTTTAAGAAATTTTAATTTTGACAAGTGGAAGCACCTGTATTAGCAATCAAAATGGCAGTCTGAATTTTGATTTTGTCATATAATGGTTTTGGCCATCTCGTAGGAATTTCAGCCATTTTCTGTTAGCATAGACATTAACTAACTAATTTTGAAAACTACACAAAGGAGAATAAGTATAGTTTTCCCATATTTCCTCCCATTGTTTTGGCCGACATTTTTCCCGCCATTTCCACATACGGTCGCACGTTCACTTTACATTTGACCATGGTGTTCATGGCACATCGTTAACTCAAACCCTGCACATGTACAGTGTAACTTCAAAATTATTAGCAGGGCTGCAAATAAATATTTGACTTGACCGGACATTTGTCCGATCACTTTTAATTTTGGTCGGACATAACTTGAATTTGGTCGGACATATATAAGTCACAAGATATATATAAGTCACGAGACAAGTATATAGGGCCATTCCGGCGCAACGTTACGTAAAATGCTAGAATGCCTCGTAAATTTTATTGCAAAATGCAAATTGAGTGAATTTGTAATCGGATTTTGTCACTGCAAAAAAATGTATAATGTGACAGTATTTTTTTTTTATCGGACCAATGTCCGATCGAAATTACTTTTGCTCGGACATTTGCCAAATTTCGTCGGACATTGTCCGATGTCCGACAGTAATTTGCAGCCCTGTATTAGAAACAAATCATCGTTAAAATGGTTTTGATCTGCATAAATTTTTGCTCAGTTTTGTTGGCGTTAATCTTGACTCGATAGTTTTTAGGTATACTTTTAACCTTTTGCAATTCGCACCTAACATAAAAATGTTCGGCTCGTGGCTAGGCATGACCCTGGGAAAACCAGCCACTAGATTTGTGCAATCATCATTATTAGAGCATTCAGGTCAATGGCCGACTTCCTGTTCAAATTCTGACCATTTGGTAGAAAACGAATCTAGATATTGTCAAAAATCCTAAACGACGAAATCTCTCTATTTGTTTTCTGAAATCTGTCTGCAATAAACGAAAACTATAGATTATTTGCAAATCCTCGAGATTTTATAAGACAAGTACGTTTTCGGGCCATGCCATGTTTAGAAATTTTGCGCGGGAAGACAAACAAAGCTTTGAAAATTTTGTCAAGCGAACTGGGAAGGAACCGTTTATAAAAGCGGATTTTACATTTGAAATAGCTACAGAATTACGAAAAAAAACATTGCAAAGATATAAACGGCAAGCTCTATGATGGATTTAGACAGTTAGCTTCAGTGTAGCATACAAAATACTTCTGAAAAAGGGCGACAAGCGAAACAAAGGCGGCATATATACTAGAGGGGATGGTCGAAGACTCGAATGGCTCGGAAGCACATGGAGTGAAAATACGAACCTTGTGTAGTTCATCGTCGTTTGCGATGGCGAGGAGAATATGTCGGGGAATAATTCTTGATCTCTTGTTATCTCTGGCGGCGTTTCCAGCCAACTCGAGTATTTCTGCTGTGAGATACTCCATCACGGCTGCTTGGTACACGGGGGCGCCCGAAGCGATTCGATAATGGTGCGTTGTCTTTCTCAAATATCTATGCACTCTGCTCACTGGAAAGATTAATCCTGCCCTCTGTGAGCGAGTTGATCTCATTCGCTTTGCAGCTTTACCTCCACGACCTGACATCTTGGTAGTTTTGAGACGAAAATTAAGATTTTCCTCACACTTGAAGCGGTTGTCTAACTTATCTGTAATGGCTCCTCGCAAATCTTTCAGGCTTTTCAGTTTTCAGCGTCCTTTCGAACGATGAATTAACATCTTGTGAACCAATCAGAGTGCAGGAAATTATAATTTAATTTGTGAGCCCGCAAGCCACTATTTCAGCAGTTAATGAGCATACTTCATTTTGCACAAGAGTGAAGGATTTCGAATTTGGCGATTTTGGCCAAAAATTTGATTTACTCAATTTTCGAAAAATATGTAAACGTCAAGGACAACATGGAATTCGCAGCTATCAGTAAAATTAATACATACAGAAGTTTGGGCCCCAGTCATTTTCAGTCTCAGTCAAAACTGGGACCGACTTTTTCTGATTTCCGAGTGCTGGGGGGGGGCTAACGTGTGCCTCTGGCTAAAGAATAAGGCTACGTTGCTTCGTTCCCGAAACGTTACGTCCCAAGTGTAAACAGCTTCCGCCCCCATAGGCGTACCGGGCGGGGGGGGGGGGCGGCAGCACCCCCCCCAGTTTGTTGGACAGTCGGGCAATATTCGCACAACAGTCGGGCAATTTTGCTTTATTATAAAAATAAATGGAACAAATTCTGTCAATTTTGAGGTAAATTTTTTGATTTTTCGAATATTTGTGTGATGTTACGAAAAATTTTGGTATGTCCGAAAAATGTTTTGATCCCTAAAATGGTATACTGACCGAAATTTTTTTGGCGACGGGGGGGGGCAAATTTTTTTTCCCGCCCCCCCCCCCCCTAATTTTTTCCTTCCGGTACGCCCATGCCGCCCCGGCTCTTCTTTCACCAAAAGCAAAAATATTGCAGACTTCATTTGAAAGAGTGAACACTATACTGTTGTAACCCGTGATAAGGTTTAAAGAACTCTGAGTCATGAATTGAACAAAAAATTGCTAAGATTGGCGTTTACATTAGCCTCCTGCGCAGACGTTGTAAGTACATGGCCGAGGCCGCTCGGCCGCTTTTGTGAGTCAGGATCCCATGACTAAATATTGTAATTATTATTATTATTGTAATTATTATTGTAATTATTATTATTATTATTATTGGAGGCATGAGTGAAGAGTGCAAGAGGTATCATAGCAGATTGGCCGAGCTCGGCATAGCAGCGAAGAAAGGCGAAGACTACTCTACGATCATGTCCTGGATACGAGCCAAGGTCTCCTTTGCCATCTTGCGGTCAGCTCTACTTTGTCTCAGAGGGACTAGAGCACCCAGGAGGATAACAACGAACGTTCAAGAAACGGACTTCGAAGTAGACAATTCTCGTGCCAAAATTTAGGCTTAGACTTTTACCACAAATTCTTACTATAACATATACTATAACATACTACAACAGTTTAGACTCACTTCCTTATATTATTATTATTATTATTATTATTATAGTTTAAGCTTCGCGTTATACATCAAATGGCAGGCAAAGAAAATTTTACGGTATCAGGCAATAAAGAGTAAATTAATTTGCTGTTTTAAAACTGAAATACATAATTATTCTTTCGACACAAGAAAGACAATGTGAAACGAAAGCGTTCAACGAAAATTTTGCCAAGAAAATTCTAACCTGCCGTTTGCCGTTCCCGGAAACGTGAAGCTTAATTAAACTCCCTTATTTACAATGAGAGCGTTGCAAAAACCAATAGGCACAACACGGAGTCACGGACTATACTTGGGTGCGGCGCTTCGATGCAGAAATTGATATACACTATGTAAACACAATTCAATTGCCCTACCCGGTAATCCGGTATGGTTTTTTGCGTTTTTGTTTTTTGTGGCGTAGCCTAAAATATGCATTGTAAAACAACGCGACAGTTTGTCAATGATTTAAAAGACTTTCTTCTTTACCTTTTTTCGGCATAAAACTGGAAATCTACCTTGGCAACCGGTTTCTGCCGGAGGAATTTCAAATTCAATTTTGAGCTAAGTCGGTTTGAAAGCAGTTAATTTTCGATTTCAATTAATTAACCGAATAACGCACGAGGTCTTGTAAAAAAAGACGAATGTTGTCCCCGTGGAGCCTCCGCAATGTTTGGAGATCATATTTCTTCACAGACTCAGTCAGGCGTGGCCAGCCGGGCCCGACAATTTAGTCCCACTGTGCAAATTCAAAATTATTATCATTATTTATTTCTTTAGAAATCGATTGTTACACTACGCTCAATTTTTGGTACGGCACGGATAAAATTGGTACCCGTACCAGTTTTTTGGTTCTTGGACTGCCTATTTAGGCTGTCCAAGAACCAAAAAGTGGTACGGTACCAAAAAGTGGTACGGTAAAATTGAGTATAGTATAAACGGAGCTTAGCTAAATAGGTAGTTCAAAACCAAAAAAGTGGTACGTACGGGTACCAATTTTACTGCCGTGCCGTACCAAAAATTGAACGTAGTGTAAACGGGGCTTAAAGCCCCGTTTACACTACGCTTGATTTTTGGTACCGTACTGACTTTTTTGGTTCTTGGACTGCCTAATTTGGTTCTTGGACTGCCTAATCTTCCTGGCTGGCTACGCTACTGAGTCTATATGGTTTCGCTTTACACAGAAAACAAACTGACATGCTAGTACAAAAATCAGTTTAATTAATGGACAATTCTATTGTAGCTATACTATAAGTAAAACCTCTTTCAATCAGCCCTGTCCGGAATACTTTGATATGCATATGCTTCGAGTAGTCTTAACTATACATGCCAATGAAGCCAGACGTGATGTTTGTCATGTTTATCAGAGTATGTGCGCATCCACACCGGGCAAGCTGAACAGTTTGCCTGACTATGGTGGGAATCGAACCCGGGTCAGGTAAACCGTTCAGACCAAATTTCAATTTGTCAGACCTGCGAACGGGCATACTCCTTTTTGCGAGATTTCAGATACCCGGAATACTAAGACCAATTCGGAAGCTATAACATGTACTTTGCGTGTGTGTTGGTGTTGTGTACAGTGTACTCAGCCACACTGAATATGATGTTTGTGACGAAACTCTGAGTGTGAATCCACACCGGGGAGATTTCGTTGCGTGCACCCCCCCCCCTATTTTTGGAAACGCCTGCGAGTAGAAAAATAAGTATGCAGTTTTCCAGAAAGTTTTTTTAGATATCGCCATTTCAATCTTCATAACAAACACATACGCACTCGCTTTCTATTTTTAATGGATCTTTTGATATGACGCGCGTGTTGTTAGTTTACGGCTGTGTATATACTGTGTTTGTGATGACTAAATTGGCGATTCCAATTAAAATCGCTATATATATATATATAAAACAATAAATGATTTCATTTAAAAGTGTACTGCTATACCGACCAAAATGGAATAAATTGTAACGTAATCAACACTGCGTCAAAATTTGTTGAAATGGGTTCAATTAAACCAGAGTTTCAAAACTCGCAATTTTGTCCGGCAATTTTGTCCGGTAGGAAATCTACATTCAGTTTGGGTCAACAACAAAAGTCTTAATTAGACGCCCACGATCGAAACGCATTTTTTCATAATCAGAATTTTTTGGCTTTCTTCCCTGAAAATGTTGTAAAACTACGTGCATCTAAAAATGTTCAGTTGCGCAATCTCGTATATCTACCAGAACTAACGTCTTTATCTATGATTTGATGTAATAACTTTTTGGAAAAGAAGCTGAAAATGATTTGCTTCCATATTTGGTCTGTGTCAGTGTTTTGCCAGCGGCAGCGTGGGTAATGCCAATTTGTCGTGGGTAGTGAAACTGAATAGAAGCAAAATTAAACTAGATTGCATTAATTTTCAGTTCCAAAAATACCTCTCAACCTCTCGAGAAGGCATCGCCATTGTGTACATTTCTGGCTCAGAGCCAGATGCCGACTATACTGTATATTTAATATAAAGAGGAATTTGCAATTGCCCGTCGAAGTTCAATATACAGAACCTATGAGCTATGGCTATGTCTATGATTCATAAATCAAATTATCAATGATCGAACAAAACACATTTTTGTCATTTGACATATGCGATTATGTCAACTAAAGTTTTCCCCAGGATTCTTAGTTCATTTTTATGTTCATGCAAACCGCAGCTTACATATTAATTGTTGTACACGTACATTGTCAATGGACAATAAGATGACACAATCGCAAAAATTTAATCGACTGGAATTGAAAATTGGATCCTGTTAATTGTAGTTGTTTGTCAAAGTCTGTAATCACTGGCAACTGACGCAACTGTCCACGCTTTTCGCGTGGGCCGCAACGGATTTATTACATCAAATCAATTATTAACTAAAATGTTGTTTATCACTCGAGAACTCTTCCCAGGTTTGGTGTGAGATCGTGGCCGTTCGATTCTCGTTCGGAACTCCAGACATTTATAATTCATCAGTGTGAAAAGAGTGAGTCCGAACGCTCTACCAGAAGTTGTGTCGGTTTTCCGGTTAACTCTGGTTTCCTCCCACAGGGAAATTGAGGGAATGTTGACAATTTGACAGGGTGGGTTGAGATTAGCAGTAGCTCATGACATAAGGTGGTCATGTGAAGATGTGAAGCCGGTTGCACCACTGTGGTTGCACTAGACGACAAAGTTTTCATGATAACTGTTACTCCGTATCAGTGACATGAAGCTAAGTTTTATTTGCCGGTGTAAGGACCGTGTAAGGCAATATATAAGCAAATTTACCAATTTTATCAGTATGACAAGTACATTTGTTCAAAAGCTAGCCTATATAGCATGCTACAGACGAAGTCGAAGGGCCTTCGCTCGAAACGTCGAAATTCTCCTTATATTTTCAGGTAATTGCATCCGGCCTACCAACGAAAGCTTGGAGAAAGTAATGCTACGATCAAATTGCCAAAATGATAAAGACGCTTATCGCCAAGCGCGTAACAAGTATGCTACCAGTTTGAAAAATGCTAGACATAAATACTATTCTGATCTTATCGATCAATGCTCGGGAGATTCAAGAAAACTTTTTAAGGTTGTGTCTTCACTTTGCAACACACCTCAAGAAAACTCCTTGCCTCCACATGATGATTCACGTAAACTGGCTGATGAGTTCGGAAAATATTTCTGTCGAAAGATTGAGCTAATTAGAAATGACATTGAAAACGTTGTAGTAGACCCACCATCAGTAGATTATCGTTTACCTGATATCAAATTAGACTC